GTGCTTTTCTCTTTCCTTCTAGTTGTAGAATTTCCACTCAGCCAGCCTTCCTGTAGTTCTGGATGATGTCCGTTTTGTCTCTTCATTGTATTTTTGAAGTTGTTGTGGGAGGCAGCAATTTCCGGTGTTTACCTATGCCGCCATCTTGGTTTCACAAGCCACCTCTTTAATAACCCATACCACAACCTTACCTGGGAACATTACACCAAATGATCTGTGATTTTCTAAAAGCTGCCCGCTTGGCTCCTTTTGAAAATCTTTCAGGATCATGCCTGTCCTCCTCAGTCCCTCAAAGAGTAAATGACTTTCCTTGCTCCATCTTTTCTTCCCCACAGACTTTCACCTCAGTAACTGACACTATCATCCAATCATCACTTAGCCCAAAACTCAGGACCTATCTTTGATTCTTCCTGTCCCTCACTCCCACATTCAAATCATCAGCAAATTCTACTACTTGTAATTTAGTATGTCCTATATCTCTTCATTTCCATCTCTAAACAACCTGGCTTCCTCCAGTTTTTGCTTTTGCACTAGTCCTCTTTTTTAAAAAAAAATGTATTTTATTGATTTTACAGAAAGGAAGAGCGAGGGATAGAGAGTTAGAAACATCAATGGGAGAGAAACATCGATCAGCTGCCTCTTGCACACTCCCTACTGGGGATGTGCCCGCAACCAAGGTACATACCCCTGACCGGAATCGAACCTGGGACCTTTCAGTTCGCAGGTCGATGCTCTATCCACTGAGCCAAACCAGCTAGGGCTGCACTAGTCCTCTTAAACTTTATTCTTCAAACAGCAGCTGGCGGTAATGTAAAAACTTTATATCAGATCATTTCCTCTCTTTCCTTAAAAGTCTCCAAACTTCCTTCCATAGCCCATGCGGTCCTGAATGCCCTAATCCCCTCTACCTTTTTAGTCTTATTTCATACCATGATCAGAAACACTCACTGCTACCTTTTCACTTGTCCAGCTCTGCTTAGAACACTCTTCTCTCAGACATTTATATGGGCTCCTTCTCATCTTTCAATTTTCAGCTCCCTGGAGGCCTAACCTAATTACCCTATCTAAAGTTGCTGCCTATTCCCTACCCACCTCCATCCTACTCCATTGCATTCCTTTAGGTTATTAGCATGCATTTATCACAATCCAAAACTAGCTTGCTCGTTTTATTTATTTGTCTCCATATTACTAGAATATGGAGGGGAGGAGTCTGCAACCGAGTAACAAGGTACCTGCCCTTGACCAGAATCAAACCCAGGACCCTTTGGTCTGCAGGCCGTGCTCTATCCACTGAGCTACACCAGCTAGGGTGGAAACACTCTTTTTGGTCCTTCTCTTCACTGGCCCTAAAATTTACATTAGTAAACCATGGCTCAGCAGCCTGCAGTGAGCTTATCTGGATATCTCAGCGTCATTTGTTAACACAAAACTTGATTTCCTGTGGGAACTTAGTGCCAACAAACTACCAACTCCTATGTTGGGGTTGTTTCTATTTGCTGTACAACAGTTTTGCAAAGCTTTGAACTTACTGAGACCATTGGTCTATAAGATTATCTTGTCCTTACCCACCTTCACCAATCCTATCCCTTTCCTCCTGGGAATGGCTCCTACTGTTTACCAGATGGCCAGCATATATTCTAGAACCATCCTTTCTTTCCCTTTTCCAACCCTCTCAGTGCACAAGAGTGGAAGAGAGAGGGAAAGACAGAGAGAAACACAAGAAAGAACAAGGAAAAAATGAAGATACTATGACTTTCCCCAAAGGCCTACATACTTATATGACCAGAAAACTAGATAATTTGCAATAAACCTAACTTGTTTTTTCAAAAAAAATGCCCTGGTTTAAGAAATTTAAAGACATACATTCAGGCAGACAATTTACTACAGTATTCCCTACAGTGAAATGAGAGGAACCTTGTTTTATCATTTGATCTGAGAAATCTGAGACTATGAAGTGAACTAGGAAGGCGGGAAATTGACCTTACACAGCTGTTATAATTAAACTAGAGGCCTATTGCACAAAAAGATTCGTGCAATAGGCCTTCTCTCCCTCTGGCTGCCGGGACTGGTTTTCCTCCAGCACCCGGGACCCAGGCCTTCACTCTGGCTGGAGCCGCTTCAGTCTTTGCTGCTCCGGCCGGAGCCACCTTCAGTCTTCACTCCGCCGCTTCATGCCTATGTATGCAAATTAACCGCCACCTTTGTTGATGGTTAATTTGCATATCCTGCTGATTAGCCAATGGGAGGCGTAGCGAAGGTACGGTCAATTACCATGTTTGTCTATTATTAGATAGGATGATGCCAGCATACCTCTTAAAGCTATGTGCACATCAGCTTGTGCTATGGTTTGGGACTATTTCAGTAAGTAAGACTTCATCTCTTGGCTTTCACTCAGGCCTCTCTTCATACATACTGCAGGCTATGCTCCAACTACTTCCTAAGACACCTTGAATACATCCAGGCCTGGCAGGCCTCTCCACCACACAGGACTGTGAGACAAGCCAATCCTCCTACGTGCTTTCGTTTTCACCATTCACTCTGGCATCTGTGGGCCTCTCCTCAGAAGCGACCCCACACAAAATTATCCAACTGTTTAAAATATGGATAGGAATGCTTTTTAGTTCTTTTGCCCTGGCTGCAGGTGTTTTAATTCTTTCTGTCTTCCTCTCTCCTCATCAAGACTCCCAGTATTACCAAGCTATTCAGAAGTGATAAATTAAACCACAGCAATTTAATCTGAAGAATGAGTTAACACTTGACCTCTGAGTACTTTATGCAGCGGTTCTCAACCTGTGGGTTGCGACCCCTTTGGCGGTCGAATGTCCCTTTCACAGGGGTCGCCTAAGACCATTCTGCATATCAGATATTTGCATTACAATTCATAACAGTAGCAACATTACAGTTATGAAGTAGCAACGAAAATAATTTTATGGTTGGGTCACAACATGAGGAACTGTATTTAAAGGGGCAGAAGGTTGAGAACCACTGCAGAGTTGTGTGTGGGAGCCTAGTACACGTGTAGGGCTCAGATTAGGTAATTATGTGAAAGCCCCAGCCCTATGCAAATATAGTTATTATTCAGGTGTTGGAATCTTCATTTGTGAAACTTCCCAAAGGCGTACGATTTTGGAAAGGGCAGTGCGGGGAAAGGGAAATGTGCATTCTCTAAAAGAATGAATGCCTAACGTGGACTTTGGGTAATGACACCTGGAGAGAAGAGGGATGGGGGGCAGAAGTGTCTTCCCGATGTTCTCGAAACCACAGCATACAAGGAACCCTTTAGAACCCCTAACCCAGCAGCATTTAAGGCTGGACCTGAATCCCTGCTCTGAATTGAGGAGCCACTGCTCCAAGACAGCACTGAACAATCCTCCTCTTGGCACTCGATCATCCATGCCTGCCTCAATGTTCTCAGGCTGCTGCACCGTGCACAGTATGAACTCCTTTTTCCTCGTTCAGCCACAGACTCCTTGAGAGCAGAGCCCTTATTGTTTGGCTCCTTTACAAGACACTACACAGTGTAGGCACTCAGTAAGTACCTGGAGGGCCGAGTTGAGACCATATAGTTGGTAGGAAAATCTAATTAAACATCACACATATGATGAAAGACTGCTTTGTCTTCCCTGCAAATTGTTCCGAGACCCAAAGGTTCCATTCCGACAGCGGGTCCCGCCCCGGCTCCCTCCTCCCGCGCCCTCGCCCTCCTTAGAACCCCACATTCCAAACGGCCTCCAGGAGGAGCGCCTGCCTCCCCTCGGGGATTTCTGCCTTTATGGCCGCACCGGGGAACGGCACCAGAGCCTCGGCTGTTCCCAATCCCGGCCCGACCCAGCTCGGGGGTCCCGTCGGCAGCACCGAGCTCGCAGGAGAACATGGCCCGCCCCCCCGCGCCCATTCCCCTCAGGAGTTAGAAAAGAAGGCTTTTTCACATTAAACTTTGAGCAATTTGACTCAAAACTCGCAACTGTTTTCAAATAAACTAGAGAAAGTTCACGCTCTCCGCGCAAGTTGGGCTCACGGTTCCGGCGCCCGCGCCGTGCTCCGCGCGACCCAAACTGGGACTGCCCGTCCCCCCCCAAGTCGCCTCCTTCCCCCAAAGCCAGCGGGTCCTCCCGTCCTCTGCACCCACCTGCCCGCCTCCTCCCGGCCCGGTTCCCGGCTCGCCTCCGGCCCTTTCCCCCTCGGGGTCCCCACTTTCCCCTCAGCCGCCCCGGCGCACGCACCCAGCCCGGGCTCCCCTCCAGCCCTGCGCGCCTCTCGTGAAATCATGTCAGATGAAAGAAGACCATGAAGAACCCACCTGGAATTCTGCCCTGTAAAGAGGTGACTGAGGAAAACTGAGAGACGAGGACCGCCGCCGCCAGCGGAGCCACTGAGCCTGCGCGGGAGGACGCCCGACTCCAGCAGGTGCCCCCCGAGTGACTCGGGGGTGTTGGGTAACCTAACTCTGGAGGCGCACCCTCCTCGCCCTTTCTAGTACCATCCCCCCTGTTCTAGCCGCACTGAACTGGAACCTCTTCTCACCTTTCCTTTCTCTTTTTTAAAATATGTATTTTTATTGATTTCAGAGAGGAAGGGAGAGGGAGAAACATCAACCATGAGAGCCCCTACTGGGGATCCAGCAGCAACCTGGCATGCGCCCTTGATCGGAATCAACTCGGACCCTTCAGTCCGCAGGCCAATGCTCTATCCCCTGAGCCAAAGTGGCTGCGGCTTTTTTTTTTTTTTTAACATTTTGCTTCATGACGATTTCCATAAAACTGTAACCAACTTTTAACGTTAAACTTGTGATAATTTTAAAATGTTAAGTCTGTTCCTAAGTAGTATATATTTTACATGACTTCCTTTTACTAACGGATTTCTTCTTCTTTTTAAATAAAACTCACACTAGGCAAATCTATCCAGATTTCTGGCCTGTGTGGCTCAGTGGTTGGAGGTTAGCCAGCACGGGAAGGGTAGTGGGTTGATCCCGATCAAGGGCACATACCTGGGTTGCGTGTTTGATCCTGGCCCCGGTGGAGGCACAGAAGGCAACTCTTACATAACGTTTCTCTAGAACTCTCTTCACGCCCATTCCCCTTTCTTCCACTCTCTAAAAATAAATGGAAAATATACATTCAAGGGAGAATTAGCAAAACAAAGAAATCAGTTACTTGAGGCTTAGGTGTGGGAGCCATGATGGAGTGCAAATCGACTTGAGAGAATTTTGGAAAGTGTTAGAAATTTTCTAAAACTGGATTGTAGTTATGATTGCACGGTTGTATACATTTACTAAAAAGTCACTGAAACATACATACACTTCCAATGGGTGAATTTTATGGTATGTAAATTGTCCTTAATAAACCTGTTATTTTGTGTATGTGTGTGTTTTGTTAATCCTCACCTAAAGATATTTTTCTATTGATTTTTAGAGGTTGGAAGGGAGGGGAACAGAGAAGCATCTATGTGAGAGACACATTGATTGGGTGCCTCCCACATGCGACCCTCCCCTCACCCTACCAGCACTGGGGATTGAGCCTGCAGTCGAGGTACCTACCCTTGACTGGACTCATGGCCCATCAGTCCGCAGGTCGATGCTCTATCCACTGAGGCAAACTGGCTAGGGCATAAAGCTGTTAATTGAAAAAACAAAAACAAAAAAACCCTCGAAGTCCTTCCTTTGATTCTCCAATATAATGTGGTAACTGCTCCCTATAGTGAGTACCTCTGTGATAATTCAATGTCTCCTCTTGCCTTTTCAATTTTCCAATACCTGGTTAATGATTTTCTTAAATTCTGTTGAGAGGAAAGACATATATTAAATAAATTATACAAAGTATAATAGTAAATAGCTAACATTTATTGACAGCTAAGTGCCAAGAACTGGACCAACCTCCCTACATTATCTTATTTGCTTGCCACTCACAAACAATATGATAGTGGTTACAATTATAATTCCTATTTTAGGGATGGTGGGAAAAGAGGCACAGAGAGGTTTAGAAGTCTTCTCAAAATAAAAATTAAATGGTGGAGTAGGATTCCAATTGAAGTCTGTTTCCAGAACCTAATTTCCTGACCATGGCTACAACCATGGAGCTTGTTATCTGTGTGGCATTGTCAGATCAAGAATTTCAGCCTGTGATGTCACAAAGGGTTAGGAAAATTGGTGGGTACCATAAATGCCCGCCTGCTCGCTGCTCCTTAGCGCTGCCGCAGAGGTAGGAGAGGCTCCTGCCACTGCCACTGTGTTTGCCAGCCGCCACTCCCCCTGTGGGAGCACACTGATCACCAGCAGGCAGCTCCTGCATTGAGCGTCTGCCCCCTGGTGGTCAGTGCGTATCATAGCGACCGGTCGTTCTGGCCGTTCTGCCATAACGGTGGCTTAGGCTTTTATTATATAGATGGTATTAGAAACCAAGATCTGGGCACTAGGTATGCTTGCTGGTAATGGAAAGTTGTTGCTTCTAGGCTCTCTCAGCTGACAGAGCAAGGAAAAAAAATATGTGTGAATGAATACTAACCCCTCTATATCCACATTCCTATGAGTATTTATATGTATGTAATAACACATACAAATACATACATACATATATACAGCTATCTATTTCAATGTGTAAGCGAAATGTATGCATACTGACGCTTTACAACTCTAACGCAGTACCAGCTGCCACCTGGATCATTCCAGTCATCCCCTTGCTTATCTGTAGCCTTGCACTCCAAGAGTGAACCTGGCTCTCACTATCGACCATTCATTTACTTAACTATCATTTCCAGTGGCTTCATAATTGTTAGCTCATACACCTGCAGGAAACATCTTTTAACAACTAGAGTGGACTGCTTATGGCAGGTCTTTTGACTTTAGTCTTACAGAGTTTACTCAATTCCAGAGTTACTTACCACTAGATTGCCCAAGGAAGTCATTTTGACTGCTTTTTAATTTCAATTAGAAAAACAATGATGTATATAATGACAGAATTTCTTAGAATTTTGTGACTTTTTATACAACATATAAATGCGTTTATTAATTGTAGTTACCTCCCCCTCCTTCATTTCCGGTATATATATATGTGTTATATCTATATTGCCCGAAAGCAGTCATTTTGACTGCTTGGGGGGGAAATTTTTAAAAAAGTGCATAGAAGAAGAAGGCCGCCGAATTTTGAGGAACGATTGGACAACAACATTACCGGAAATACATGCATTTATTGGGATTTTATATGCTCGTGGAGCCTACGAGGCAAAAGGATTGGCACCTTTTCTCCCCACCCCTTTCAAAGAGATTATTTCATTGGTTAGAATCTGTTGTCAAAGTCCCCATTCTGTCTGGGATCTCTTGACCTCATAAATGATTCTTTAAAATTTAAGTACCATTAAAGTTCTAATGTAAAGTTCTATAAGTTTTGGCAAAATGCATAGTGTCACACATACACTATCATAGAGGATAGTTTCTAAGCCCTACAAAAATCCCTTGTGCTTCACCTATTCAACTCCACCCCCACTCCACTCCCACATCTTGCTTGTTTTATTTAACAATGTATCTTGGAGCACTCCATAGCAGTTATACATATATTCCTGCTTCCTCTTTATAGTTGTAATTACTCAATGGTGTGGATGTGCCATTGTTTCTTCAACCAGTCCCTTATTGATAAACAGTTCGGTTCTTCCCAGTCTTTTGCTATGGTAGATAGTTCTACAATGAATTAGTGGGTACCATTTTGAGTACCTATTACATGCTTTTTATATATTATTTTAATCCTTACTACCATCTTGCAAGTTATCCCCATTTACCTAGGAGGAACCTGAGACGACTGGGTTGCCTAAGATGTCCTTACCATGAGCTTCTTAATGGTTATGTCTTGTTTTCTGTTGTATTCCTGACATTGTTATTGAATGAATGAATGTAACTCAACTAGTAAATGGCAGTGTAGGGGCTAAAGCCAGGGCTGTGAGCCTGGACCTACCTAGCCCCACAGGCAGCCTCATTACAATCTAGCCGTGGTCTCTAAGCTGGGATGGCCATACCTGGGAAAGAGAGCAGGATGCAGAAAATGAAGGTGTTACCTGTACCTGTGGATCTGACATGTCTCACTGCATATACTCAATCAATGTTAACTGAACAGGTCTAAGGAATGTTAGAAAGAATGGGGAGATGGGGAAGGAAAATGACAAGAGGAGGAAGCAGAGGGCAAGAAGAAAAGGAAAGTGGGAGAGAAATATGGAAAGAAAATGTGGCAGATTATTTTCCAAGATGATTACAAGAATATCACCCACCCCACATGCTCTTACTCTCAAGTTGCAAGAATCTAAGTGAGCATGTGACTCAGAAGGGATGCTACGCCATCAAAGGTGATAGTTTCCACCGGGCCTTTTGGGGATGCTCTTGGAACCCAGTCGCCATGAGGAAGCAGAAAGAACCACATGGAAGAGGCCACAGGTAGATGTTCTGGCCAACAGCTCCAACTGAGGTCCCAACTTGATCCAGCATCAACTGCCAGACATGGGAATGAAGGGGCCCCTGGATGACACCCTGACCATGAGTCACCACAGCCTTTGAACCTTCCAGCTGAGGCCCCAGACATTGTAGAGTAGATCCAAGTCATCCCTCTTGTGCCCTGTCTGAGTTCCTGACCCACAGAGCTGTGTTCAGCCATTGTCTGGGGACAGTTTGTTATGCACTAAAAAGAACTGGAACAGGAAAAGTGGGGTGTGGGACCCTTGAACAGTCACTGGTTGTCTGCCGTAATGCTATGGTAATACTAGCTGCTGCGATATACAAACCCCAAATTTCAGTGACTTAACACAACAGAAGTTTATTTTTTACTCACGCAGTTATTCAGTGCAGTGTTTCTGGATGGTGGACAGCCTTCCAGTAAATCATTCAGGAACTCAACTACTGTCATCTGTGGCTTCTCTATTGTCCAGAGCTCGGAGTCCTTTGCATCCAGAAATCAAAACCGGGAAAAGGAACACCTACTTTTTAACTGTCTTGTCCCAGAAGTGACAT